GTGGCCAGCCTGTTCTATGCCACCACTCTCTCCACCTACACCCAGCCACACTCCTTGCATTCTTCTGGGAGGGACAAGGTGGTGGCTGTGCTCTACTCAATTGTCACCCCTGTTCTGAACCCATTTATCTACAGCCTGCGGAACAAGGAAGTCATGGGAGCCCTGAGGAGACATTTGGGATGATGGATATTGGTGCAAAAAAAAAAAAAAAGTGGTTTTGCAATGGACTTTCGCAAATAGACTTGTGGACTGAAGGTTCCATCCAAAGCTGGTCTGGGTGGATATAAAGATCAGTGTTCTGTAAAAGCACCAGAAAGACTGTGTTCTCTTCCAGCTTGTGTACCTAAAAAAGCAAAAGCATAGAGTTTTGCCATCTCAGTGGTACCATGGTGTTGATGTTTTGAATGGCCCTTTGTCAGTACCCTGAAATACAATTCATAGGAAATGGAATATACCTAAACATTCAACATAATGATAATTTATATAATATCTAAGGTTGATAAACAGAAAAACTTAGTACCTGCTCACTCCACTGCTGTCTGTATCTAGAGGCCTTTTATATTGTAAAACATTTCACTTAGGGCCTCCAGCAAAGAATCAGACCAAAACAGGTGGGTAGAAATAAGAATAGAGACTAATTCCTTCTTAATAAAGGAATTATTAAGCACTAGGCCATGGGGAATGCGACCCTCCTAGTTACATAGCACAGTGTCTCTGACACTTGTAAATATAGAAGATTCTATGATGGAAAAGTTAGAAGCCTCTGTTTTCTCCAGCACAATTACATTTCATAGGAACGAAATGCTATTCACATGCTCAGCCTTGTGTGATGTGGAAAGAAAGGGCAAGACACACAGAAATCCACTGAAGAGACCAGATCAGACAAAAGGCTCCTAAGGATGTAGGGTATCTGAAGGAGATGCTGAAGGGGGCAGGGATGAAGCCAGTAGTGGCCAGCTCACAGAGCCCAGAGGCTGCTCTCTCCTTTCCAGACAGAGGAGACATGAATCAGTGAGGATGCCTGTTTAGTTCAGCTCCCAGCACACAGGTCAGGTGGCACACAGCTACCTGTAACTTCAGTTCCATTGGGCCTTATATTCTCTTCTGGCTTCCTAGGACACTGCACTCACACACACACACACACACACACACACACACACACACACACACAAAATATTTTTAAAGAATGCTTAAAAGAGCAAAATTACAAAAGTAATTTTACCTAACTCTAACCGTAACGAATCTAATATTTAAAGGAATTTAGAGGGTCAATTTTTGTCTGGGAATTAATCAGAAGTTTATTTATCAAAGCTAAAGAAGCCGAGCCCTGAATCTTCACTTTATATTCCTGCAAGTGGAGAAAAATTCTACTGTATTGAAGACCAGAAAACTTAGACTACTGACTCTTGGCTTTTAAACTGTGCATCAATAGATGGGTTATGTTACTTTGGAGACTTAAGATTCTCCTGTATTAAATCTGGAATAAACAAAGATGGGCCATAAGAATTAGGACTCATGAAGGAAATTCCAGCTGGGAGTAGAGATGGGCCTTGAAGCAGGGAAAGCACTCACTTTGCAGGACAAAGATTATCTCCATATGCATAGGTCTTGGCTTCAAATTTTTAATGTAACATCATCATCATCATCATCATCATCATCATCATCATCATCATCATTATTATTATTGGTTTCTTGAGAGAGGGTTTCTTTGTGTAGCCCTCACTGTTCTGGACTCACTTTGTAGACCAGGCTGGCCTCGAACTCACAAAGATCCACCTGCCTTTGCCTCCTGAGTGCTAGGATTAAAGGTGTTCACCACCGCCGCCTGGCCTTAATGTGTTATTCCTATTGTGTGCATAATTCATGTGTGTGAGCACAGGTGTGCACATGGACACAGCACTAACAAAGGACAGCTCTGGGAGTCAGTTCTGGCTTCTAGGGAACTGAACTCTGGCCCTCAGTTTCAGAGAGCAAGCTCTTTCCCCCTCAGAGCTGTCTCTGTGGCCCTGTCCTGGCTATTGTGTCATTTATTTTCTATAAGAGGTGCTATTCTGGGAGCAAGGCAGAAATCTATGGAAATTTTTCTTCTCTCTAGCTTTGTGCAAAACTATAAATGAACTTTTCTTTTCTCTATATTTTGTGTCACTTTCTCTTTTTGCCAGTCAGCATTTGAACCTAGTGCCAGGCCTGATGACCAGAGCGTTTGACCATAGGCCTGACCCTTTAAGATACTGGTCATTTTGGTGGCCATGTCCCACCGCCTGAAGAAATTGGGCCACGTCCTCCTTCAGTGCTCCTTCTAGAACCTGAAATTAAGAAGCTGTTCTGTGCTGTGGTTTTGCCCCTGTAATGTATGATCTTCCCCAGGACCTGGCTCCACCTTTCTCTGCCACATACACTCTCCCAGGCTAAACCATGTGATGGGAAACTCCCCATCAGTCCCTGATGGGACTAGTGTCTTTGTTGAGGCAATTTGTCTGAAGGCTCTTTTGTCTGTTGCTTCCCCACTCTCTGACACCTTTATCTCTCTGTCTCACTCCTATTTCAAGCTGTCATTCTTCATGAAGCTCCTTTCTGGAAAAAAAAAATCCCCCTCTTTCCTTTTGTAGGCCCTGTTGTTCTGTTTCTAATAATAATAATAATAATAATAATAATCTGTTTCCTTTTCAAGACTCTCCCACCTCAAAGCCTCACCATGGGCTCCAAGCCCTGTCTCCTAATGACTTCATTCCTGACGAGTCACCAGGTTTCATCTTCTTTCCCAAAGCAACTGTTGCTGCCTGGTCCTTCCATTCGACACAGAATTCTGGTTTTAAATTCTCGTAATGTTTTGTTTGCAGAAAAGAGGAACAGCTATTTGTTTTATGATAAAAATGTCTGTTTCCGCAATGCTCATTTAAAATACTGTTAGTATAGAAGAATTTAGTCAGAATTCTTCAATATTAGAATGTACAGTATGCAATACAGAACGATTTTAAACTCACAGAAAATTATTAGAATTGTGTTAAATATATCTCATTGCTAGCGTAGGCAAAAAAAAAAAAAAAAAAAGTCAGGGAATTGGGAGGGAAGCAGATTCCCAAAGAGGCAACTTCTAAGTTTTAAACGTTAACCTTGGCAAGCAATCTTCAAAATACTTGTGACTGTTGCTTAAAAATAAATAATCGGGTCAGAGAGAAGGCTCGGCATGTAGAGAGGTGCCTGCTGCTAAGCACAGTTCCCTGAACTCAATAGCCAGACCCCACGTGGTAGAGGAAGAGAACTGACTCCCTCATGCTGTCCTCTGACCTCCTCATGCGTGCTACAGCATGCACATTCCTGCTTTGGTTCTATGGGTTCTAGGTCCATAGCAAGGGAGTAACGGGAATATGCAGTAGAGACAACTCGCCCCGTTCAGGACAGGAACCAGAGTTGAGGACGAGGGATCAGGCACAACCTTCAAAGGCATTCCCCACAGTAATGGGCTGCCTCTAACCGGGCTCTCCCCTCCACAGCTCCTACCAGGTCCAAGAAGGCTCCATCTTCCACGTTTCTACCAGCCCTTGAGAGTCCACTCAAAACTGAATCCATCTGATGTTTAAACCATCAATTCAGCCAGAGCTTTTTGCACAAGACACACAAGAGGTTTGCTTCCCTCACCTCGGTGTCTCTCAGAACAAGTTGCTAAAACAACCATCATGCTGCCAACAGCGCTCTTACACCAACCTTTTCCATCTGGGTAGATACAGTGAAAGTTCCCCAGGATATGACCCAGGATTAAAACTTCTTGATTACAGAAAAGAATTCTACCTCTAACAGAGGCAGCCAGGCGCTTTTCATAGTAGTCCTAATATTTTAAACTCTAATAAACAGGAGAACTTCTTTGTGTCTAAGTGTCAATCAAAAGTAAACCAGAAATTTTCTTTTACTCCTGTGCTGGCTAAATGTATGATATGATATGATATGATATGATATGATATGATATGATATGATA